TTTCTCTCTTTTGTTGTGTAGGCTGTCTTTTTTTTAAAGAAAAAACTAGCAACGTGGCTTTTGGGAATAGGTACTCTTTAGATGAGTTTGGCATGCCCCGAAGTGGTGGTTTCTTGTCGCGGCGCCCCCCATTTATGCGTGTGCTGCTCGTATTGGGGCTTCTGCTTTGGCTGGCGTTCTTCTCTGGGCAGCTGTTACTGCTACAGCACTCCGAAAACTTCAGTGGCCGTGGGAAGATACAACTAGTCCGTTCTGCAGCGACGCAACAGCCCCGAGCTTTGGGCGGCAGTGGAGCCGGCGACGATGACGCATGTGTGTTGCGGGCGGTGGAAAGGTACACCCGCTACGCGGCAGACGCGACTGCTGCCGCAAGGATGCGCAAAGAACGTGGCCCGCTGCGCATCGCCGCCTTCTCGCGTTTGTGGATTCCGCCCATTCACAGGACAGGCGGCATGCAACTTCACGCCTTTCACATATATTCCCAACTTGCTTCACGCGGTCATTACGTGCACGTCTTTGTGACCGGGCCCCCTGCAAATTCTTCAAGTAAGACGATGTACTGCATCGACCGCAAGACCCATGGGGCAGTGCGGTGCAGAGACCCCGAGGCGCCGTTGGTGGTGGAGCAAGTCCCTTCCACCGCCAACAAGGCGTATAGTGTGGCCTGGTTAAATAATTCTCTTGCATTATTTAACACTTTGCACGCCGAGAAGCCTTTCAACGTTGTGCACAGTGAAAGTTGGGCAGCTGTGCCGAACATTCACCAACTACGGCTTCCATTTGTTGTAACGTGGCATGGCTCAATGCTTGACTGGTTTCGTAATGAGTTGAACTATGTTGCACACAACTATCGTCTGCGGCGGAAGGCGCCAGGAGCAGGGGTGTGGGGTCGAATGCAGAGACTTGCCAAGGCTGTGGCGCTGGAGGAGTACATGCTTCTCACGGTCCCTCAACACATCGTCATCTCAGACGCGGCGGAGCGTGATCTGGTGGAGGTGCAACACGTGGCTCGCGAACAAGTTGCATTGATTTATAACGGTGTCAATACCCACATTTTTTACCCACGCAAGGAAAGGGAGGTGCGTAACGCATTCCTGCGTGCCCATCGAGTTCCTCCTGAAAATTACGTTGTGGGATGTGGTGGACGTCTGGTGGAAATAAAAGGGCACCTGCAACTCTCCCATGCAATGCGCCTTATTATGCAACAATACAAGAATGTGACGCTTCTTGTTAGTGGCGATGGCCCAATGAGTGGCGTTTATGAGGCCATGCGAGTGGAGGGGCTATCCGTCGTTCAGCTGGGAATGCTCCCCCAAGAGCAACTTGGGACCTTCTATCAGGCAATTGACGTCTTTGTGGATCCCTTCTACCAGCACCACGGCCTGAACACAGTGATGCTTGAGGCGGCCTTGTCCGGCGTGCCCCTTGTTGTGACGGCCCTTGGCGGCGCACTATCGGTGGTGCCGTGTACGGCTTACGGTCGCCTGTTTACGATTGGCGATGTGACGGGGCTGGCGCGTGAGATCCTCTACTACATGCTTCATCCTGAGGAGGCGCAGGCGACTGGGCGTCGAGCCCGCGAGCGTGCCATGAAATTGTTTGATAGCGATGTTATGGCGATGCACTACGAGAGGGTTTTATATCGCCTGGTAGAAACTCCGCCATCTTCGGCAAACATCACTGGGAAGCTTGTGTGCACACAGGTGTATCCTGCCTTTTGCTACCGTGAGCCCGCATAGGCGACGAACACCGGAAGTGGCACAAGAGGCGCGAAGTGGTTTTTCTCCGTTCCAGACTCTTCTTGCAATGTGTGGCTTTTCATAGCCACCTCAATGCAAAGCCATTTGTTCTGTTGGGTGGCCTTCGCAATTTAATTTCACGACGCCCTAGGGAATTCTTCTTCTTACCGCCAGCAGCAGTTGCACGGTTGACAAAAAAGAACGACCAAAAAACAGCAACAAAAAAAAAACGTCTCAACAAAGGGGAAAGCACAGAGAGAATGCCAGTGTCGAGAAAAGAACGCCTCTTACTGAAGCAATAATGCAGGGGAGGCAGTTTGCGTACGCGTTTTTGTTGTTATTCTTGCTTGATAAACTCCTGGAATGAAACCTGCACCCAGATGGGGCGAAATAAATCAGAGGGCGATGGACTGATGCACATTTGTTTCTTGTCAGTGGATCTGTCTTTTTGGGCGAAGGGCGCGTTTGGAGGGATATGGGAGAGCAGATTGTTTATTATTGTTATTACTGTTGCCGGTGGTGCAGTTGAGTCTGCATTCTCACCCTCGCCTCCTTCTTGCCCCCACGCAGAAGAGTCCGGCCATTGCGGGGAGCCCTAGCGACTGCGACTTGGCTGGTTCAAAAAGCGAGGGCCCTGTTACCGCGTCCTCTTTT